AAATCATCTAAATCAAAATTAATGATCCTAAAAATATTGATTGGGATAAAAATGCTGATTCAAATTCTTTTATATTAATCTGTCCCAAGTTAAAAGAACATTTAAAAGAGCATTTTTCAGTAATTAATAATTTTCATTTATAAAAAAATAAAAGTGTAGAAGCAGGTAAAATATAGTTTTTAAATATTTAACATTAATAATAAAAAAGATTTCAACTTTTTATTTAATTAAGAGTCTTTATCAACAACATCCAACTCATCACTAAATACAAATGGTGAAAATGTTTCTTAATAAAGTTTTCACTAAATACCATAATTTTTTCATAATAACAATAATGGACCAATATCATCAATGCCAGCAACAAAATGAACATATAAAGAACTAATTTGTCTTTGTTGTGGCAAAAGCAAATTTAAAAATAAATAGAACATCCATTGAAAAGACATTGTATTAAAAATAAATGTTACATTCCTTCCCATTTGTGAGAGATAGGGTTTTGAGTCGCAGTCAACCAATTATGAGCCAAAATTGTATTTGCTTAAAACCAAAAAAAAAAAAATATAATTTTTATGAATTCACTATTAAAAAAATGTGACATATTTTAAAGACTTTCGTAGTATTTATATATATCTATATCTATATCTATATCTATATCTATATCTAGAAAGAAAATAATAAAAGTAATTTTTTAATAATTATAATGAAGGAAATTTTTTTAATAGTGAATCTAATCAAACGATTACTATCAAATGATCTACCCAGAAAATCTTGGTAGGGCAATGTTGGTAATTTGATTGGTTCGAATCTTTTTTTGAACTAACAGTTAATCCTGTAATTGGTTAAATAACCGGTTAAATCAGTTAAATGACCTGCAGATCATTTTAACTTTTAATCAGTTATTTAACCGATCTGCAAGTTAACCAATCGAAAGTTATTATTACACATCATCATCAAATATATAACGTAATCATATAATATACGTAAAAACGTGCAAATTGTACGTACAGTATTTGATACTGATTTCTGAATACAGAATTAATAATCTTTAATCATGGGAACGAACAACATTTATTTACATCTTTATTGAAAATATTTATCAAAGCTGAGGAAAAAATTGTAAATTCGCCAAATTTGTAAAATATTTGCATATAATTTCCAAATTTGATTAGATAACTTATCATTAATTTGTTTTATTTGAACCAAAAGTTTACAAGATCAATTTTTTTTTTCGGACAGGTCATTTAACTGACAGTTCAAAAGTAAATAATCGTCATTGCCAACAGTAATATATGGGCCTGTTGATTAATTTAACGTGTAATACGAATAATTCGAATAATGAATAAATTGTATAACACAAATAAAGCCTACCCTTAATGATTCCGGGGAATAGGAAAAGGGAATGAAAATATAGACATTGTTTCCACTAATAACTACAATTATAGACTTGATATTAAAAATAGACAGAATAAATTTTCTATTTTCCAAAAAGCTCAGAATTGTAATAAGGAAAAGTTCTTCAAAAACTTTCAACGGTTATCTTCTTTCAATCCTAATTCTAGGCATGGTACATCTTATTATTATGTTTTGGCCAGTGAGAGAGAATCTGGAAAGAGAGTTTGTAGTCAAATCTAGTGAAATAGTTTTGTATAAGGTGTTCATACTCTCCGAATTAAAATCAAAAGTCTTTGTGATGTTGATTATGGAAATTTGATAATATGAAAAAATGTGCGTAGCCCTTACAATAAAAAAAAAACTAAGGAGGACAAAGGATTAAAGGATCCAAGGAATTTTAGAAGGATTCTGAAGTCATAAAGAGACAATTATAAAATTATGTTACTCTAACAAAAAAATATGCTTTTATAATTTCACTTGATCAAAATACTTAAAAGATAGCTAGCTAGCCTTATTAATTGATATTTCAATAACGAACAAGGTTTTAAATGGAGTAGCAAAGGAAGGAGGAAAGAATCCTGTCAACAAGTAAAACAAATCTCTTGGTTTTATATAATAATGGAATATTCGTGAGAAGAAAATTCGAATACGAAATCTAAATATCCTTAATATTATTATTATTAATGATTGGATTATTATTTGATTGTTATTATTATACCGAAATTCGAGACCAATAAATAATGATTCTATAGGCTTAAAAAGATGCAGAAGACCATTAAACGTTGCACCGAAGATTACAAACAACCTTTTTTTTTTTTCTGAGAAAAACATCAAATAGTTCTTATCTTCTAAATAATCAGGTCTAACGTTGCACCGAAACTTATAAACAGTTTTTTTTTTTTTTTTTGAGGAAAGATAAAAAAAACATCAAATAGTTCTTCCTTATCTCCTAGTCTTTGTTTGTCTTCATTAAAGGTAGATGCACTATTTTTTAAAAGGTAAAAAATCTTCAATTTCAAATTTTAGCCGAAAATTTCGAATATTGAGAGAACCTGATATTAATATTAATATTAATACTTATTATTATCAAAATCGAAACCGAAACTATTGCCATGCATTGAAATAGGACCCCGGATTATATATTATTATACAGAGAAACTAATAATAACTTTCAAAATTTCACTTCAAAAAGTCTTGTATGTTTCATAAGACATAGAAAAAAGCAAAAAATTATCGTACGATGATTAGAACTTCGTCCAATATGTATTTAGAATAATTTACATGGTTGACACATTTTGGTCCTGCGGTTCTTCTAAGATAAATGTGGCACTGCTTTACATTGTCTCAAAGTTTTTTATCGTAATACACTGCGAGTCTCGATCCAACGAATCCTTATTAAAAGTCTGAATTGAGAGTCTAATAAAACTAAATTTACTGTGTTTAACCTTATCAAATCATTCAAGCCTTTTATAGTAAGATTCCTGTGTGGGAATGACGAATCATTTGGTTTGATTCAAAAAAATTATTACTATTATCATAATTGATCACGCACGAATCATTCGAACAAGCTTTGTTCTAGACATATAATAAAATGAAGTACTTATTGTATTCAAAGTACCAAGACATTTATTTATTTCAAAGAATTAATTAATAATTGCAGATATTTATTTATTTAAAAATAGTATCCGAAGTTAAATCGATTTCGAAATTAAGAAAATACTTTAATTTACCATAATAATAATGATAATAATAAATAAAGTCCTTACCGACAAAAGTACCATTATTAGTAAGATCTTCATCTTTCCCTACAGTACTATGCCTCAAACCCTCTAAAAACCTAAGCCCCTGTATGTGGTATAATCGGAACAATATAAAGCAATTACGCAACCATTTATGTATAAATTTTTTGGTTTAGAAACCATACACACATTTTGCATTTTCAGTTTCCCCTGTTTTATTTGATGAGTGGGAATTACATGATTTCAATATAAAGATGATGAGGATTTATAACGAATTATGAAGGTTGATCATAATGACTATATTAGTTAAATTGCACGGCGACAGCTACTTCTTAATCGTGCCATGGTGTTTTTTTTTAAAACATGAATTTGAAATTATCGATTTTTTTTTTTCTAATAAATACATTTATTGACAAAGTGGCTTTTATTTATTTATTTTAAGATTTTAAACAAAGTTAATCATCAACAGGATAATGAGTGATTAGGGAATGATCGATCAAAGATCATAATAAAGTCATTAATCAGGAATTCGTTATGCTTCGGGTAATGATTGTCTTGGCAGTCTTGTCTAGATTCTAATGGTGTTGAAGAAGGGCGGGTGGTGATTAATTGGTGTAAATAAGAATGGTAATGAATATATAAGGAGGACTAGAAGGAAGAAAGTGACAAATTAAATGCAACTAACTAGACTAGGGATGGGATTGGTCAGTCGGCCAATTAAGAGGGAGTAGTAGTTTAAGAAAATTTGGCAAAGAAAAAGTATTTTTGTTCTTTTTATTTTATTTCTATTTTAGTGTTTGATATTGTGTTGCCGTTTTTTTTTATTCAAAGAATTTTTTCGTTTCATATACACTTGTTATTCCAATTTTGATGAAGGTGTAACCATGGATTATCCCAATAAAAAACATTACGTGAAAACGTGCATCTTATACTATTGTTTGTTGGCTATGTTTTGAGTTATTATATCAAATTTGGAGAATTATTAATTTTTACTGGAAAAAAAAATTATTATAATTTAACCAGTGAAGACTTAAATTCCATCGTTGTTGTTGTTGGATTATAAAATCCATATATATGTATAAAATATTCATTGATGTGTGAATTTTTAATTTGAAAATTTCAAATAAAAAAGGAGAAAAAATACGTTCTTGTTTATTAAGTATATTTTAAAATAAAAGACAGCTATTGTTATATCTTATAAAAAAGGCATAGAAAATATTTTATTTATGCGCTAAAAATATTATAATTAATTTGACCTTATTATAAATTAATTTCAAATCAATTCTTCCAATAAGACGTACCATTTCAACACGTTTTCTGTATAAATTATTATAATAACAATAAAATAAATAAAAATAAAAATAATAATCGTCGATCATTTCATATAAAATATTATATATAATTTATAACAAAAACTACCTTATCTTATCATAACAAATAAAATTCTTATATTTGTTTCTAAAAGTAGATACAATTTGAATACTGATGCACATGTAAAACTAATATATAAAAACGTGTAGAATAAAAAAAATTTCATTAGTATTTATGTAAAATGAAAATTAAAAATAAGAATAACAATAAAAATTACAACAAAAAAAATATATAAATAGCAGAATTGTTGTTTTTTTATTTTTCATTTTCATACTTTTTTTTTTCTTGGTAAATTTAATTGGAGAAAAAAAAAAAAAACTGAACAACAAAAACAATTTGAAAAACAAAAAAATTATTTTTTTGAAAAAAAAATTTTTTTAAACACCAAATTTAACAAATTAATTTAATTATATAAAAAAAAAAAAAATGAAAAACAACATGGCCGATGTAATTTATATAACTCCTAATAAAAATAACAACAACAACAATAACGTAGATATGAATCTAGGTTCTTATCCAAATCCAAGTCAAAATTCAAATTATCATAGCCGCAGTCGACGTCAGCAACAACAACACCGTTCTCGTCAGCAATTGCAACGTAATCGCCAACAATCACAACAACATCAACATCAACATCATCATCATAATCATAATCATAATCATAATCATCATCACCAACAGCATCATCATCACCACCAACATCGTCGTGATCTGAATCATAATTACCAACATCGTCGAGATCTGAATCATAATTACAATCTGAATCAAAATGTCAATATTACACAACCTATCGTTAATATAGTTGCTGGTAGTGACAAAGCTTTGTTATTGTCTGTGGAATGTTGGGAGAATATCTTTAGATATTTGACGCCAAATTACAATGATTTACATTCTTGTTTGTTAGTTAATAGATTTTTTTGTAAAATAGTTGTTCCAATACTTTGGGAATCGCCATTCAGTCAATATATCAAAGATAAAAATAAAAATAAAAACCAATCCAAGGACCTTAATAACAAATGTTATCATAAATTAATAAGAACGATATTAAGTGGCTTATCACCTATTAAAAAAAATTATTTAATATATAATGGAATTAATTCAATTAGACATTTGCCTGCCTCCACCACTTTTAACTATGTTTCACTTATAAAATCAGTTATATTAGATCAATGGACATTAGATGTTTCACCATTCATTAATTATAATAATAATAATAATAATAACAACAACAATCATAATCTTAATCATGATCTTAATTACAATTATAATTTACAATTTAAAAAACTTATTCTTCAGCAGCAACTAATTAATTTATTAGTATTTGATAATCTTAAATATTTAAAAAGTCTTGTAACAACAGAATGCGAATATTTAAGCCTTTTCATAAATCATCTATTATTATTTAATAGCAATAATAATCAAATGGAAGGAGGAGAATTTAAAAAACCTCTTAACGATAATGATAGTGATAATAATAAATCTATTAAAGTTACTAGCAAATTATTTTCAAATTTAAAAGAGTTTCATTATAATCCAACTGATTTCGGATATTACGTATTCACAGCTTTATCAGAAGCGTCTGCAAACAATTTAACAAAATTATCAATCAAAGATATCTTTAATGTCAAGCAATTGGAATCTCTCAAAAATTTAGTAAGTTCACAAAACAATTTGAAATATTTGAGGTTGGAATTAACTGAAAAATTAAGTCAGATCGAGAGTGGTGGAATATTATCAGATTATTATTGTCAATTGTTCTCTATATTAAAAAGTCAGAAAAAATCTTTAACTTGTCTAAAGCTTGTGAATTTGAATTTCCGGTCCATCACCTCAGATTCAATTAGTTCGTTATCAGAGTGTGATAATATTAGGACGTTGCATCTTATCAATTGTAAAAATATTTCATCGTCCAGATTCTTCTCTCTCGTTTTTCACAATCTCAAAGAATTAAAATATGAAAATTTCTATAATTTTCTAAACGATCAAGATTTCCTAATCAACTTGTTAGTACATTCAAATAAATCATTGGAAACGTTAGATGTTTTCTATTTGAGAGATGATGACATTAAAAAAAATGATTCAAACTTTATCAAAACTTTAACCTCAAATTGCAAAAATTTGAAAACGTTGAGACTAAGACTATTACAGAACGACGAATTGTTTATGATTTTCAAATGTTTGAAAAATCTTACTCATTTCAACTTCTTTTTATCCGATCAATCCGACTGGAGTGAAAAAACTTTTAGAGCATCGAGTGAGTTGATGCCAAGTACTTTGAAATTGCTAAAAATTGGCATTTGGCAAGACTTACCTTCGTTCGATGAATTTTCCCTCAGAGAATTTCTCAATGGTTGCAAAAAAATAAATTTGGACAGATTGGAAATTTACTCTTTTCCTAAATTAAATGTTCATTACGTTTCCATTTTAAAGAATGGTGGGGTCAATTACAAATTAATTGAGGCCATGGATGATTGGTAATATTATATTATATATAATAATAAGGTTTATTAAGGGTTAGAGGCGGGATTGCACATAATGTTATACATATATAATATGTATATATTAAATATAGATAATTAATAATTATATGGATATTTTTTTTATGTAAAATTTTTTTTTATTTGTAGATTTTTTTTTTACAATTTTGTCGATCTTTTTTTTCTTGTAAATAATCTAATTTTGTGTGAATAAAAAAGATTTTTTTTCTATAATTATATTATTTTTGGAAATACATTCGGACACGAATTATTTATTATTGTAATAATGATAATTGCATATTAATAAATAATAGCCGCTCAAAAATTCCCGAATTTAGAAACTGTGCCATAATGTTTGTTTTTTTTTTGAGTTCTATTACACAATAATAAAATTTAAATCCATTGTTATTGTAATTAGTTGGAAAATTTTTTTTCTATATATATAATATTCAGAAAATCAAAAACACCAAATACGTAAATATGTATTATGCTATTTTTAATATAAATAATCATTAAATTATTAATTTCAAATGCGCATTTCCTCAATGATGATCGTCGTCGTGTCAACTTCTTGGCCAATTAATCGATAAGCTTTCCTTCTTTTTTTCGAATCATTTAGGATTGAGCTCGAACGATTTAGTTCTTCTTGTGAATCCTTCTTCTCATCTGATTTTCAAGATCATTTGGCACGTATTGTGGATATTTTTCAAAACATTCTTGAGAGTCGCCTATTCTTCAATGAACCGGGCCGTGTCCTTTCAACATTAAGATATAATTTTTTTTGATTTCTGATAATCTATTTGGCTAAATATTTATTATTATTTATATGAATCCTAATTTTATGGGTATTAAATTTCCGAATCTTGTGATTCACAACGCGATCTTCCGATATCTGATTAGATAGATCTTAGTATTAGTCGCTTCTTGGGAAATTCGCATAAATATTTGATGATTAATTGGTGGTTAATCAATAATAGAAATTTATATGCAGATCACGACATCTGTTGTTTTTAAAAAAAAAATATTTATTATTTCAAAATTAAAAATTCATATTTTAATTAAAAATTTCATATTTTAAATTAAAAAATCATTTTTTTTTTAAAGAAATATAATAAGTCCAATTATTATCTACTGGAATTATTTATAGACGTTGATTTACATTACGGAATTCATGCAAAAGATTGATGGTTTAGATAACAATACAACAAAAACAATTCTGTGTGAATTGAAAGCTTTGACTTGCACACCAGAAGAATGGAAGGATGAGGCATTTGATGCAAAAAATATTTGATTATTGTCTTAAAAAAAAACAATTGCAAATATAGGCTGGTATAATTTATTATTATAGTATAGTTGGCTTGGTCTAAAGACCTCCTAAATTTTGCACAATTTTTAAAAGGCATAGAAGTCACTTTCTGTCCTACCTTTTAAAAAACAGCTTTATGATAAAATAGGTCTCTAGTTTTAATGTAATAAAGGTTTTCCCAAATAAATTATTTTTTAGTACATGTACGTAGTGGTTATATCCGTTGATTATCCGGATAATGGTCAGTCAATAATGATAAAATTCAATACCCGGATAATCGGCCATTCGCCGAATACCCCGCCAAATATCCACTGAATCTCCGTTGAATATTAAGTTTATTTTTTAAAAAAAAAATATAACAATTATTTATTCGTCAAGGAAATATTTTCAATACACTGCATATTTTGTGTTTCCAGCTTCACTAATTACAGTCAAACCTTGTCACAGTGGATGAACGAAAATTTTATCTAAACCCGTTGTGGCAATATTACTGATTTTGCCACAACGGATTTTTATATGTTTTTATATTTAATGTGAAGCAAAAATTTTAAAAATCCGTTATGACAAGAATTTAATTATATTCCGCTGTGACATGTTTGGCTTTAGACGCTCATTTGGAATATTTTTTAGATAATAAGGACGCAGTTGGTATTCATATTACTTGATATATTATTATAATAGAAAGAATATTGATGATGTGTAAATTGGATAAATAATATTTACATGTTAATTAATGTATATTAATATATTAAAAAAATTTCATTCAATTACATGGATAATTTATTCGTACCCACCCACATTATTCACCAATTATCCGGATAATTCCAATGGAAGTTGTAGTAGAAGTTTTGTTCAAGTCATATGAAAATCATGGGAAATGGTTCGCACATCTGGTGTGACTATTTGTGGGTCATATGAAAATTCTGGGTAAATTTTTTAAAAGTCATGACATTATTGGGTAAAGAATTGGAGTCACAAGGGAATTTCGCATCCAAACACTCCGTATTTGTTTATTGGTTAATAATAATCAGAAAAAAAAAAAAATAATAATAAATTATCTTTGTGCAAATGTCAATCCTTTAAATTTTTAATAAAAATTTCAAATCATCATTCATATATTGACCACGGAATAATTAATATTTCCGTGAGCGTTTTTTCCTTTACAGTATTGTTTGTTTACTTTAGATTATTCAATATATTTTCACATTTAAGTTCATATAATATTCGGGAACAGCAGTTTATATTGTTGGATTCTGAAATAGGATAATCGAGAATTGAAGTCATATGCTCAAGTGGGTAAAAATTGTAAAATTTTCTTATGTCGTGTGAAAAAGACGGGTAGAGAATTTTTGAGTGAGGCGTTTTTTTTAAAAAAATAAGTTATTATTACTATATATTACTATTAGAGTTATCTGGGTCCATCTGCACCATATTAAAATTAATATCAAAAAAGAAAACATTACACAAAATATAAAAAATCTACACGATAATATAAGACTTTTTTATTTATGTTAAGAGCAACTGTTATTATTTTCAAAACAAAACATTCTCCAAGTCAAATTTTATATTTTATAATGTCATATTTTAAATTATTAATTATCACCAGAAAGAAGGAATTTGTATTAAATCTAATAATGAAATGTATAATAATGCTTTGGTTAAATCTGATGGAAAAATAGAAAGGATTATTTTTTTCATTAGTCGAAAAAAACAAGGAGCTTTTTGAAATGAAAATGGATTTTGCAAAGAAAGGCTTATTTATGAGTTTGAGTTAATTAATGCAAGGAATAAAAAAGACAAACTAAGAGAATGTAACAAGTGTAAATCAATGATATATTCTTTGAAGGTTGTATTAGAGTCTTTTTGACACTTGGACATCTGGTAGTAGCTTGGTTGATAATTTCATTCAACAATGTCAAATACTCTCTCATCTTTGCCAAATCATATTTTAGAATGGATACCTTTTGATCACTTCAAAATTAACTGAAGGTTGGATATTGTTCAATTTATATTGCAGTGTGAGCAAGAGGACATATTATTGATTATGATGGAAATGAAAAAGAATTTGATTATTTTGGAAGGTATTAAAAAAGTTTAAATGATTCAAGTAATCCAAGAAAATAATTTTTTGATGAGGTAATTGATTTTATTTCATTTGTAGCAAAATAAATAAATACCACTATATTAATTGATTTTATGTGTAAAATTAAATCAGGAATGATTGTTCAGTGCTATGGTATAACTAAACTCCCAAATAATGAAAACAATGCAATGGTTCTTAATTACAGTATATACCAGATGGAAATTATTTATGGAAAAATCATTCAAAATTAACACTAAAAAATAGAATTATGATATTTGATTTATTTACATGATGCATTAGATGATATACATGAAAAAGGTTTAATCCATTGTGAGTGGTAATATATTATTGCAAGGAGATGATCGTTATATTACAGATTTAGGATTATGTGGACCAGTTGATGAAAAATCATCAAATAAAGTCTATGGAATTGTATCATATGTTGCATCCGAGCATTTAGAGGCAAAAAGAACACAAAAGAATACGATATCTATAGTGTTGGGATGTTGTAAATGTGGGAAATGTTTGCAGATCATCCACCATTTGATGATAGAGCTCATAATCATCGTTTAATTTTTTGATATATGTGAAGGTTTACGACCATCAATATTACCTGAAATACCTGATTATTATACACAAATGATGCAGACGTGGATCCATCAAAAAGACCGACTAGTAGAGAGCTGTTTGATTTTACTAAAAATAAAAGTTTGAGAAATAATAATAATAGCAATAATAGTTTAAAAAAAAGATTATTTTAAAATTAAAGAATATGTAATTGATTTTAATAATGATAGTAGCAGCAGCAGTAGTGGTAGTGATTTACAACTAGTACACAAATCACATATCATACAAGTAGAACCTTAGATGATGAGATTGCTAAATCAAAAAGTTATACAATTAATGATAGTTCATTAAATAGTCTTGATTTTAACTCTTTTCTCTAGAATGTTAACAAAGGTGAATAAAAATTTTCATTATTAATTAATTGGAAATTACTATCGACTATTAACAAATTTTTTTAATTAATTGATAATAGTAAAGGAAAGAATTGATTTAAATTTATTCATTATAATTTTTTATCTTTTTATTTTATCTTTATTTTGTTTCTTATAATTCTTTTAAATGGTGGTGATGTTGTTTCAAGGTATCATTTTGGTTAATGGCTGATTACGGCTTAACTTTTGAGCTACTCTTTTCAGTTAATTAATCGCAAGCGACTCACAATAATTCAGCACTAATTTACGAATTTACTTTGGTTCTCAATTATTGCCTCTTTCTTGCACCCAATCGAATCTGTAAGCACACTTAATGGTGCCAGATAACTGCTAATAAATAAATAAAGATGGCCCTTTTACAAAGTTCAAGAGCTTATATAAAGTTCCTTTTATTCACTTGTAGTCGATTTATTTCAGTTGTTTGCCCTTGGTTAAATAGCTTGCTTAACGTTTACGATTATAGTAATATTACCGATATTTCTAATTAGCCTTTTAGCTGATATTTCATTAACACTATCAACGTTAGTCCTAATATTTGCTTACTAACACATTACTAATTGTTGTTGTTAACATTCATTAATTGTTGGGTATCACAATATTTATTTTGTATTTATTTACTTGTTACATTTCCCAAAATTAATAGTAATAATAGTAATGATAATTATATTTAAAAAATCGGTAGCAGTAATAATAATAAAGTAGTGTAAGTTTATGAGACGAAATTTTGTCATTATTCTCTCCCAGTGATTAAAAAAAAAAAAAAAACTTTATGGGATCGGTTTATTTTTTTTACAAATGTGTAATTGTAAAACTCCTTGTTGTATAATAATAACGAGACGTTACTGTATTCCTAATTTGGAAATTTTGAAAATCATCCCAAGTTTTTAAATATGAAGTGCATTAATTACTAATTACGAATCCTTTGTAGTTGTAGTAATAGTTGAAATCGTGAAAGATGAAGCGTGAGATATGACAAAGAAAAGCAAGAAATTAATGGTAAATCAATCGGGAGAGATAAAAATTTAAAAATATCAATATTGATGAATGGTTTAAAGAAATCCAAAACCTAATTCCGTTCCCATTATTAATTTTATAATCTTTGTTTTATTCAAGATTAATATGTACATCAAAATAAATTATGGTTTTTGTTAATAAATTACTTTAAAAAGCTTTCTTCTTTTCCTCATTTCAAAAAAAAAATTATATATTCTTTTTTAAAATAAATTCAAAAATGTCGGATAATACATACAATAACAACAACACCACCACTGCTACTTCCAACATTAGAAGAAAGTGCAGCAACACAAATAAAAAACAACAAAAATGTTTAACAAAGATTTGCAATCAATTGGAAAAAAAAATTTATAAAAGGAAGACACTTTTCCAAAATGAATTTTCTTCACCTCATCTTCAACATCAAAATAATAATAATAATAATAATAAAAGTACTAGCATTGGCTCTAGTAACTTAATTAGTAACATATTAGAAGATAATAACAATAGTAACAGTAGTAGCAGTAGTAGCATCAGTAGCGGTAATAATTCCAGCAATAATAAAAATAAAAATAAAAATAAAAAGAGGGTATTAAAATTTTTGTTTTTCGCTAAAAATAAATTAAAATTTATCCCAAACATTGAAATAATTCCACCTTCACCTAAAAGTATAACAACACCAACTTGTAAAAAAGAAAAGGATTCTTTAAACGGATTATTTATTGAAAAGCAGGACTTTCAAAAATTCTTCTTCACTACATCATTTTCATCATCACCTTCCACATCTTCGTCTACCAGTATTTCCACTTCCACTTCCACTTCTATAACAAACAAAAAAGAAGTACAACAAGAACAAAAGCAAAAAGAAGAAGAAGAAGAAGAAGAAAGCATTTACAATTACAATCATAATCACATTTGCAATTTTTATTACATTAAATCTTTAATTTGTCGTTTCTCCAATAAAAAAATGCCAACCACAATGAATAATTTCTTTCGTTCCTCCAAGTCTAACAAAAGATCCAGTACCAATACTAGTAGGAGTTCTAACAGTCAAGGATCTGTTCCAAGGTAATTAATTGTCTATGATTTAATTTATTTTTTTTTTCAATAAAAAAATTATTTATAATTAAAATTATTTATAATTATGTTTCAGTTCATCGCCTCCACAACCAATCCCGATCAAATTAAATGTGGGCGGAAACTTGTATATAACAACTCAACAAACTTTATGCATACATCCTTCGTATCTTTCCGAATTATTTTTCTTGTATCGCTCGCCTGAATCATTATCATCATCACCACAACCAAAAAAACGCAGCAGTATCAACAAATTTTATAAAAGGTCTTCATCTTCATCGTCATCATCTTTGTCATCGTCAAGTTCACAGTTACTCTACCCATGGCCAGAGGAATTATTTATTGATCGTGATGGTACCCATTTCGATCATATTTTGAACTTTCTACGTACAGGAACATTACCAAAAATATCATTATCGATTTTACAGAAATTAGAATGCGAAGCGAAGTTCTACGGTATAAAACCATTGATCAATCTGGTTTCTCAACGTATACAAAATCATTTAAGTTTACCAAAATTCAAAGTTGTTCCGATTCAATCTCTTTCTCAAGAAAATAATAATATTCTTCGTCCGAATCCAAAAATTTCAATCTATAACAGCAGCAATAACAGCATTAATAATATTGATGTTAATTATGAAGGAAAAGGCGATGACGATGATGATATTTTTAATATGGTCAATGAAAATATTAATGAATTTGGTTCAGGTGTCGGATCAAGATTATCTTCAAATCAATCATTCTACACTCATCACAATTTATCTTTATCTAATCCTTCATACGGCGAAGTTCCAATCATTTACAATCCAAAATTCAATGAATCTGATTTGTTACATCCATATTCATCAAAGAATATTTCAACACGATCGTTATACAGTAACAACAGCAATAACAACAATGATAATAATAGAGAAAGTTGTGTCAGAACACCTCAATCAGAACCAAGTTATCATAATAATCAACAAAAACAACATCAAAACCATCATCATCAGCAACTATATCATCAACAACAACCAGCGCAAATTTCTGAAGAGTTGATAGGTGACAAGGTGAATTCGACCGATTATGACATTATTAGCATAACATCTGTACCAATATTTTTCAAGAAATGTCCTGAAGGTCATGGCGAATTAAACAGGTTTTCCGATCCTTATTGCGACACAACTTGCACCGAGTCTCATGTACAATTATCAAAAGAGATGGCTACATATGTTGTGTTGAAGCGTAAAGATGATTGATTGATATTTGCACGCGTGGAAAGATAAAAGAAGGAAAAGCAAAAATAGAAAAGAGGAAAGATAGAATAATTAATTCAAAATATTTTCAAAACAAAACAAACTTTTAGAATCTTTTTCACATAAATTATATACTTTATTTTATACATTTACAAAAATGAATAGAAATAGAAAAATAGAATAGAATTTATACAATATGATGGGGTCCAGGAAGAAACAAATTCCTGCATTTTATTTTTTTATTTTTATTTATTGTATATAAATACATTCATACATTCATACATTCATTCATACATTCATTAATTCATTCATTAATTCATTCATTCGTAACCAACTTGTATTCATTCATTCATTATTTCAATTGTGCGGCTAGGGTTTCTTTTATTTTAAGCATTAGAATAATTTTAATTATTGCTATTTTTAACATAAGCTAACTATTTACTACTACTACTACTACTACTACTACTACTACTACTACTACTACTACTATTGTTATATGGGGCATACTTTGGTGTGCCAAACGATTCAAAAGTCGTTGGGATTTGCGATGCTGTATCGTTATTTAAGCTTTTTTCAACATGCATTGTATTTTTCTAACACTATAGATCGTTTAAATTATGATGTTGATGCATCGTTTAAAATACGATTTTAAAAAATAAACAAAAATAAAAAATTTTTTAATTAAATTAAATTATAAAACCAAGTAATCGAACACGCCCAAAATACTTTAATGAGAGCAAACAGAGTCTGATGTCAAAAGTCTAATTATGTCACCTGATCACTATTAAAAAACACATGTAACTTTTGTTGCAAAAGTGGCCTTTTACCATATTAAATAATTCATTGGTGGTATTTTTAATTGTGAAAATGCATTCAACTGGCTAGCACTAAAGTAATGGAACGCTTGTATGCCCAACGGTTGCATTTGCCTCCATTATTATTTGACAATTAGTAATGGGATTAACCATTTTATTTTCAAAAGTGAGAGAATGCTAATACGTGAGACTCTTTTACTTTTTACGCTTTTTTTTTTGCAAAAATTGCTTATTGACTTGTCATTTTGAATGAATCAATCATTTTGTTTTAATCCATTTCATTACCCTCCTTAATAAAATGCTTTCGATAGTAATATTCCAAATATTTGGGCCCAATATTTAATTATTCGCCATCAAGAAGAACAATTAGACAACAATATGGTAATTTTAGGGGCAGTATAACAGTAGTCCAGGTGGTGGATAGATGGATATCATGGACCAACCTATAGTAATAATAGATGATTAAGTCTTTTGTATTAATTTAAAGAATTTTATGTGCCAGAAACTTATTGATTGGCTTTTTAAAATTATTTTTTGATTTTTTGGGAAGGCTTAAAACACCAAAACCATCTGCTAGTATTTTGCTAAATATTCATAATTGAAACAGGCCTCCAAAATTATTAGACGTCGACTAAAATTTTGGATCGGAAGTAACGGATAGTAAAGAATTATCAACTTTCAAATCTTTTGAGTTCTCCCACATAAATAAATACTTTGAAATAAAATAAAATTTGCGTTAATAAATAAATAAAAAATTCATACATATCGAATTACCATTATTATAATTAAAAATTACCCTCGCCATCAATTTTCCTTCTTTTATTATCCTTCTCCAGAGCTTCTTCAGCCTCGATCTTTAATATTTTGCCTCAGCTAGCAATAAAAATTATTACTAATGTGAGGGAGGAGTTGATGGTAAAGTTGAAGAATTAACATTGTCAGAGTAGGCTTCCGATGCTTGAATAACTTGTGAATTTTATTGTTTAAATAGTCAGCGCTAAAATGACACAATTTTTTTTTCCCTTCAGTACTCAAACTCGATATCAATTTAAGAATCTCGTCAACATTTTCAAATTTCCATGATTGCTTTTTAAGTTTTGTAACTTTTCTATCACTATTAAAATAAAAGTTCTCTTCGACACTACCACTAAATTGACCTGCTGGATTTAAAATATCATCAGTGATCAATTATTAATTAGAAAAGGAAGGATCTTTAAAATTAACAATATTTTTTCAAACCTTCTTGTAAAAATTTTCACTAGTTCATTCATCATCACTTTATCTCTTCCAAATTCTAAAACCTGTAAAGAAACCAGAGATTTGGCTCGTGATAATGCAACGTATGCCTGTCTTATTATATTTATTTACCAAAAATTAAAAAATAAATAATTACAATTATAATCAAACAATATATACACTAGTGAACGAATATGTGTGTATATATATATATTCCTTTCTCGAAAATTCTGTCAATCTATTTTTACTCTCCCCAGAGCTTAATAATCCTAACTCTTGTGGATACTAATTGCCCAGACAAGAATGAGTGGAACCTATTATTGAATTAGATATCAATAAAAAATATATATCTCACAACAACACATATACAAATATAAAATGATCTATTTGGTTTCTACTTGCTGTTATAATCTTGCATTCAGCCTCAATCGTCTCAAGTCGCCATTCGGTTAAGTAGACAGTCATTACTCTATTTTCCGTGAATTTAACAATTGATAAAATCACATCTTGCTGTTTTCATCTTCGCCATTTAATAATCAATTTTATTGTTTATAGAATACTAACATCTTTACCCCATTAACCAAATTCATATTTGATATTTTAATAAGCATTACTTGTGCACACCACGTTTTAACTCCAATGTTTCAGGTGCCAACCAATTTTAGTAAGTGCATCCAATTGTCCACCGTTTCTGAACAAAAATAATATGGTTTATTTAAATGTTCAGATTTGTATTAGTAACATCACATTTTTGGAAAAATAAAAAAAAATAAATGTCATATATGAATATACGAGCAGATGATGTAATTGTGAATATCGATTAACCTGCAATTCGGTAATAGTAACTCGAATTCCATCATTAGAAGATCATCCGATCTTATCTCATACCAAAGAATTCTATGTATAGAATTAGAATTAAAATTAGATCAATTTATCAAACAATAATAATAATGATTTATTTACCTGCCTGATAATTCTATTGTATGTTTAAAACATTGATTCCATGAATTTGATTCATAACACAATTTATCTTTACATACTGAAAAAAAAATCACCAGCGGCTATTTAACTATATAATAAATAAATAATAAATATATATAAAGTATTTATATGAGAATTGAAAATTTATATGATCCTCAATATATGTTGTTTATTTATTTATTATACTTGCCAAAATTCCTCCGAATGGTCTAGCATTATTACGTATATAGCATGAGCAATTTCTTCTAACTTATCAAATAGTTTGCCGTCAAGCATTGACACTATATTATAGATAAACAAGTAAAACGATTAGTAATAATTATTATTACTTCCCACCAATCAAATAAATCACACTTTCATCAATGATTAACGCACGAGCAAGTTTTCATTGTATAATATTTGAATAATAACTTTTAACTTTTTTAATTAACTCACTACTTTTACCAAATGAATGAATGGAAGGTTCTTCCATTAATGTTAACAGCCGCTACACCACTAATAACAGTTACGGATATCGCTCCAGCCAGTGTTAGAAAATGATCTATGGTCACTGGTCACCAAGTCATGTATGAAAGTCATGACCTACTATAACTAACCAATAAAAAACTGCAATGATCAAACATCAACAAAATTCAACAAAATAATATATAGAGAGATTTAAAAATTTCAATTTCAATTTTTTTTTTTTATTTCTGATTGGTCGATCAATCTTGGGAATATAATCATTTATTATTTGAAAAATTTAATTAATTCTTTCTTGTTGACTTTTCCCATTTGATTTTTTGGTATTTCTCCCGCGATTTTTAATAAGCTTGGTAATTTATAATTTGGCAATTTATTTTTACCAAATTCTCTTAATTCATCCAAATTCAAATTTTGTTTCTAAAAAAATTTAATTTTTAACATGACAAATAAATATGTATAAAAAACATCTCTAAAAACATTTACTAAATGCGCACATCACGTACATTGTCTTTTAATGTCACTAAAGCACCAATTTTTTGTCCCCATTCTTCATCTTCTACTCCAACAATATAAACTTCTAAAATATTTGGATGTTCGGATAATTCTTTCTCAATTTCCAAAGCTGAAATTTTATATCCACCCGACTATTGATTAAACAAACAATTAATCAATAAATCAATAAATCAAACAATTGATTTATTGATTTGATAATACGCACGCACCTTTATTATATCAACACTCTTTCTACCAAGGATTTCAAAACCTTTAGTTGTTCTCATTGCAATATCTCCAGTTTTAAACCATCCATCAGATGTAAACTCCTTTATAGTTGCTTCAGGTTTATTCCAATATCTTTTTAAAAAAATATTTATTAACAATAAAAATAAAAAAATTAATTAATAAATAAACAATTAAACTAAAAAAGAATTTATAAAAAACATTTGTTGAAATTTAATTTACTCTTTGAAAACAGTTTCACCTTTAACTTGTAATTCTCCTGGTAAATTTAATTCGTTTGTAATATCTTTATTATCATCTGATAGTAATCTTACATTTACTCCGGGTAAAGGTAATCCTACGCATCCCTAGATTTTATTTAATATATATATATGTGTGTGTGTGTGTGTGTACATTCAAACTCATCTATAATCCTATATGTATATAATAATTTGCTTACTTTGTATCTTTTATTTGGATCGTATTCATGACTTAATGCCATACCAATTTCACTCATTCCATACCTTTCCAATAATATTTGACCTCCAGAAATTTCTTTCCATCTATTCCTGATTGGGATTGGTAATGATGATGATCCTGATACCATTAATCTAAATTGTGAACAAGATTTTGTTGCTTCAGGTTGCAGATTCTTTGGCATTTGCTTATCGAAATATTGAATCAATTTTGCTAAATAATTATAAATTGTGAATTCATAAATGTAATAATAGTAACAATCAATTGATTAACATATTATTATTACAAATATATATATATATACAATAGATTGTAGGAACAGCCATGAATAATGTTAAATCTCGCTTTGGATCCATCCATCTATTCCAGACAGTTTCCGCATCAAATTTTGGTAACATTTCTACCGTTGCTCCTACGTATAATTGACACATTAATGCCTGACAAAAGAAATCATAAACTTTCAGTCGGTTGGTTGGTTCATTTGTTATCATAACTTTTTATTATTAAAAAACTTACATTCATGATTCCCTAAAAAAAAAAACAAAATTCAAAATAATAAGTAATTTCATTAACAATACTTGTTATTCCACTTTACAAGATAAAGTTCTTACATGTAAATGATGTAATGGTAAAACATGTAGTATTTTGTCATTACGACTTAGTCTCCACGCTTCAACAAGTGATTCTACCTGAGCTTTAATGTTTAAATGAGTTGACACAACACCTTTAGGTTTCCCTAATGATAGCAATTACAGGAAAATGTTAAATATCAATTTTATTTTTTTGTAAAAGATTTTAAATTGCAAAAATTGATAAATAACCAGTTGTGCCACTTGTATAAATGATTAAGGCACGACGTGATTCATCCATTTGAGTTAGCTTTAGATTCTATTAGGACATGAGTTAAAAATGTAAATGTAAAGAGGTATTTATTTATTTATTTATTTTTGATTTTTTTTGATTCTACCTTGAAATCATCATCTTTACCATATCTGTTATCATTATAGCCAATAGTTTTATGATCTACAATCATGATATTTTCAATGTTAGCATTTTTTGCAATTGGTCTAATCCTATCTTCGAATTCAGGATGTGTTAGAACAATGGAAGAGTGTGAATCTTTCAACACATATGACAATTCTGATGATGGATGAGTTGTACCTTTTATTTAATGTGGAACGTGGAATTTTTAATTTTATTCTGAAGATCATCCAATCAAATCACACAATGCAAATACATACACAATGGGACAGCTATTCCACCTGCTGCCCAAATAGACCAAAGAGATATTACATAATCGTAGCCATTGGGACACAAAAATGCCACTCTTTCTTCATTTAAATCATTCTTCAAGTTGTCTTTATCATGAAAATTCTTTGATAGTGGTAACAGTTTAGTTTTCAACCCAATAACATCAAGCAACAATTCATTGTATGAATGTTGAATATCTGCTTTAACATCGATTATTGCAGGATTCTGTTTGATTGATTTATTATTATTTTTTGTTGTTGTTGTTGTTGTTGACAATGAATGTTTAATGGCTTGTTTGAATATTGACAATGAAGGCAAGTCATCTAAAATTGAGTTCCCAAGAAATTAATTAATAAATTTTTAAAGAATAATGGAAATAAAAATAATTCTAATTTTGGTTAATTGATTACAATTATTGTTATTGTTGTAATTATTATCTTTGGTTGTTAAGTTGTGTAAATGTTTTCGTAAATAAAAATTTAATTGATTTAATGAATTGATTGGCTTTAATGACAATGATTTATAATTATTACAGCGATGATGATAAATCCTAGCAAGCATTTTATTTAAAAAAAATTATCAAATTATCTGAACACTGGACTTATACATCGGGAATATATTTGTGTAAAATTAGTATTAGGTTCATCGATATCGATATTGGATATAATATTAATATCGGGTATTTCGGAAATAGATATGTAAAATAGTAAGTAATAGATATATGTGCGTGCTACGACAGCTTTGCTACAGATCTTCTAAAAATAAATTCCTAAATCCAAATTTGGTAAAGTTTCTCAATCTTAAACTCAAAAAGTATCGGCGCTTAAAGCACCATATTTAACATTAATATTAGTATAACGTGGGTAATACCAATACAGTGTGGAGTCTTTAATTAGTAATTTCTTATAACTTCAAAAAAAACAAAGAGCTTTTTTTTTAAGTTACAGATCGTTCATACATTATTGAAATTAAAAAAACATCAAGTAGGTTTTTTAAGGGAAAAACTTTAAACAGCATATCGAATCAAAATGAATGTTGTTGATCATTTCTTATTACATGATGAAATCTAATATTTTTTAAACAATGGTGAACACATTCATCATAAATTAGTCAGCTTATCTAATATTTGATGAATGAGAAGAATTTGTTGATCGTATTTAGAAAGAATGCAAGCGCTCGCGTTTTTTCTCTCTATAGTGAAGTTTCTGTCGCATGCGAGGTTTAGTGCTTTTGGTTTTTTTGGACGGATCATAAAATGACAGCTAGATCAATTACATGATAACAATAGTTAAACAGCAACATTTTCCAAAAATGAGCCTCGCCACCAATTAATCAATCAAGTAACGAGATAAAGACGAGGAAGGGAACGGTTTGGTTAGCTTCTTGGCCAATCATTATTTGTGACAACGATCGACTTACGTAACAGGTTAAAGATCCAGCCAGATCAGGGATTATTTATCTTCCCAATTTAAAAATTGAGGTTTATCAATGCTCACATGTTTATGGATCAGGGATAACTTATTTCGGAGATATGTTGGAGCATTATGCCATTTTGTTTATTCATTTATATAAATTTATATAAACCTTGCCGATTGATAATCTGGGGAAAGCAAAAGTTTGTGTATGGAAGAAACAAGTTTCTCGGAGCTTCCAATTCAGACTAACGGGGTCCAAATCTGGAGAAATAAAATTGAGAGAGTGTGTGTATGAAATGATTTTCATGATATGTTTATTGAAAAAATAAAGGAATTCATTATTATTATGATAAACTGGTTTCGGGCAATTTCACTATCCCGAACCTGACTCAATGATAGTTATAATATTTAATATCTTATGACTAATTAGAAGTCATAACTCGACATAGATGGATGCTCTCTAGAGAATATAAAAATCGGCATTTCAATTATCACAAGAAATGAATAAATTTTGCACAACAAAATGTGCAAGGTAAAAGTGTGCACGACAATATATATAAAGTTAAAGGAGAATTTTCATTGGTGGGAAAGATTTGAGAAGGCAAGTTTACAGTTTTATTTTCAGATAAAGCATAATAAATTTTTAGTTTTACTTGTTTTGTTGGTTACTAGAAATTTAAGGTTTAAAAGTTCCACCAAATAATTTGTACTTAAATGGTTAACTAATCAAATTTTCAATCTTTTCGAATTTCTTGCTTTTTCTTTATTAAAGAATTCATCAATGTATATTTCTCTGTTTATTGTTATTACATCTGAGAATTTTAATTTATTTATTGATTGGAATAATAAAAAAAGTAAACAGTAGATAATATGTCTAGTATTTGTTTATTATAATATTTGTATAATGTTGATTTTTTTTTTTTTTTATTATTATTATTATTAATGTAATAAATTAATTACGGAAAAAATGATTTTTATACATTAAATTGTTTAAAAAAACAGTCAAGTCAATCTCCTCTATATCACATGATCATGTATAATTTTTACATTAATAATATAATATATATATTAATATATTTTCCCATTTTATTTTTTCTTTATAAATTTGTATGCATTTGCTTTTTTCTGATTAGTAAGATTTTCAATTTAATTATGATACATTATTAATATATAAAAAAATTATTGTCGTAAATTAAATAAATAAAATAATTAGTTGGTTGGATTCTTTATATAAATTGGCCAAGATTTTTTTATTTGAACAATTTTAAAAATTCAACTTTTTTAAACAAAAAATAAATAATAAATTATATATATAAAGACATTATATACGATTTTTATTTTATAATTTGTAAATATACATACACACACACACAAAAAAAAAAGAGATTTTATCTTGGAGATTTAAACCTTTTACATCCTTTCTTTGAATTAAAAATTACATTCTTTTCTTCTTAAATACGCTGTTTTAACTATTTTTATCATTAAAGTATGGGGAATTGTCTTTCTGATTCTGCCTTATTCATAGACGATGAAAAAAATTCAACAATTTCGACAAAATCTTCATTTTTTTTCAGAAATAATAGCCTTAGCGGTAGCAGTAAAAGTATTAGCGATAATGGTAACAGGAATAATAAGAATGGATTTTTCAGGAAGAATAGCAACAGCAATTTATCAAACTTACGTAAATGCACAAGAATATCTTTAGATAGCGAAAACTTAGAGGCCCAAAGGGTAAAACCATTGTCATCGCTTATTAATTTATTATGGGGAAATGATTTTTCGTCTCCTGTTGAATATAAATTAAAATCCGGAAATTTTAAAGTGCTTGATGTTGGATGCGGAACTGGTGATTGGATAATGGAATTGGCTAGGAAATATCCAAAATCAAAATTTATCGGAGTCGACAAAAAGCCTTATTTTCCCTCAATAGATTTGCCTGAAAATGTGGAATTTTACGTTGTCGACATATTGGAAGGTTTGCCATTTGCAAACAATACCTTCGATTTTGTGCATCAAAGATTCCTATGCAGCTATTTGTCAACCAAACAATGGGAAGAAATTGTTATAAATGAATTGTTGAGAGTGACAAAACCTTTAGGTTACCTAGAATTAATGGAAACCGATTTAACCTCTTACAGCCAAGGACCAATAACAAAAAAATTATGCGATGCATGTAAGTTCCTATTTATTATTTATTTATTAATTTATTTTATTATTACCTATAATTTGTCTTTTTAAATATTTATTTGTTAAATGGTTCCTCCTCCTCCTCCTCCTCCCCAATCTCCTCCTCTCATCTATAGTTGTCGCATCGATGCACGCAAAAGGCTTTAGTCCAATGATTGAATCAACGCTCACAAGAATACTTTCTTCAGATCCAAATGTCATAAATTTACAAATTCATTCCAAAAAAATTCCATTGGGTTATTGGAGTGAAATAAAGGTGATTATTTTATTTATTTATATATATATATATATGTGCGAATTCATTCACACCATTTTACAATAATACCATATATACTAACATTTTTTCTATAAATTATTAATACTAGAATTATGATAATTGTTTGGAATTGTTTAAACTTTACAAGAAATGTAGTTTGGAATATACGAGTGCCACGTCTGAAGATTTCGATAAAATGATCGAGATTTATCTAGAAGAAATAGAGGATTACAAAACTTATTCAAAAACGCATCGTTTCTTTGGTCAGAAGATCGCCTCAAGAAAATCAAATGCCTCTTTCACAAAATCTAGAAGGTCTGATTATATATAATAATAGCAATCATCATTATCATTGTCATTATCATTATCATTATCATTACCACCATCATTATCATCATTAAGATTTATTTTTATTTTCTTAATCGTTATCATCATCATTATTATCACACATAAATTTTTATTATTATTTTCCCATTCAAAATCACAAAAAAAAAAAAAACTTGTAAAAATTTTAAATAAAATATAATTAATTTTTGAATTTTGTTTTTTTAATTGGTTTGTTGTTGTTCCCCTTTGAAAAAATAATGACAAAACTTTATTGTTTGGTAATCAATCAATCGGATCTTAATATTATATGTGTATAAACCAATTGAAATTTAAATGATAACTAAATTAGTCGAAAAAAACAAATTTCATACGGCTTGTGATTGGTTCGAACAATAATGGAAATGTTTATTGCAAGTCCAAAAACTATGAAAATTTGCCATTGGATTGTTTTTCCAAAAAATTTGTTTATTTTTAATATTAAATGTTTTTTTTTTCATTAAAAAAAAAAAATACAAAATTTAATTAATGTAATAAAACGAGTAATTTTAGTTTTTTCCTTGATTGTACGAAAATTTTAAGATTTTATTTATTCTTATGCAAACATATAAAAGAAGTCTCTGAGATTCTATGGCATCCTAGGATTTTGATTTTTTGTTTGTTTGTTTGTTTGTTTGCTTGCTTATTTATATTTGTCAATACTTTTAATATTTTTAAATGTCTTACCTAATGAATATTATGCTTACTATATATTCCCATCCATTTTCGTGGAACAGCCTATAGCATTATGTGTAACATGTATGCACTATTGGACTGAGCGAGTTTCATATAGTAATAGAGGTTTACTATTTAATCATCATATTCATTCTACTCAAAAACTACGATCAACACCAAGACATCTCCCACTCAATCAATCCTCGAGTAGAATCAATCAATATATTTTTTTTTACATTTAGAAAATTTTCAATTTTTAAAAATTAAAAAATTCCTTTTTTTTTTCGAAAAAAACAAATTTGTCTAAAAAATGTTATTGTTGATTTGTGTAGAATGCACATGTGAAACGACTTTAGTCGTTGACAGCTGTTGTTGTTGACATATGAGTAAAGAAATGTTCCTTGCTGTGTTGATATCTTGTTATCTCTATCAGACCATTACTTATGCATCATGGTTTTCCCAAAGACACATTCGCATAACAGAATACGATCAGTGCTACCACCAAACCAAGTAAATAAATAAAGCATACTAAACTTCATTAATCAAAATTTTTGATATAGTGCTTTTTAAGATCCTGCACCATGATTATTGGATGATGAAAAACCACCATTACATATTAATATCTATCCACTAATGCTAATATTAATATTGGCGTGTGAGTGATCAATTATTTATGTTTATCACATCCATTTAGAAAAAAGTCTTTATAAATTATTAAACCATTTTCTTCAAAAAGATCAAACTTTGTTATTATTGCCTTCTTAACCGATTTTGGAATACAGTCAAAGTCTGTGCGATGATCTTCGCGGAAAAATAGTAATAATGTTCGACAATCTTTTATTATTCTTGTAAACAATGATTGGTAAAAACGAATTGTTGAAATAAAAATTTTCGCGAGCCACATGATAATGTTTTTATATGATTCGGAAATTTGGAAAATAGGAACTCATGATTTTGGTGGAGATACTTTGGTCGTTTATCGGAAGGAATTTCCTTTTGAACCCGATCCTCTTGAACCACAGAATTTCCGAATTTGTATATCTGAACTTAATATAGACACTAGCACACACCAAGGAAATTGAATCTTTAAAGAAAGGTAATTTTAAGGAGAATAAAGAAAGATATCAACTTTATTAAATTACTCCACTAAGGTTTCGCGCCTAGCCATAAATGACTTGAATAATAAACACAAGAGTAATTATTGAGAAACTTCTTTGAAGTGAAGCCGAGCAAAATTACCATAATTTGCAAATACAATTTACGTCAGAGTAAAACGCGAGGAAAGTAATAGAGAAGTCTCCATGATTTACAAACAGAAAATCAAGATCCTTTTTTCTCTTTAAAGAGCAAAATCAACAACAATTGATTGCTGAAAGAGATTTCCGTCCTATATTACCTACTCAAACCGAGTATGATGATAATGATAGTCCGTACTTCTTAACTCTCAAATTAATTTATTATTATATTTACACAAAATCAAAATCCGAATGAGTAGAAAAAATACTACTCCTACGGCTTCACAAATTAATTACTGGGCCATACATATTATAAAAAGTCCTCACAAAACTTCATACTTTTCTTTGAGTCTTTGAAAAGTAGCAATAAATAATTCAAAATCACATTTAATTAAAATTAAAATTAAATTATTAAAATTAAAATTATTAAAATTAAAATTATTAAAATTAAAATTAAAATTAAAGTTAATGAATTAATTAGCTAAATTAAGTTATATATCTCTACGGAGGTTTTTAATGAAATATTTCTTGTACCAATTAAGTTTATTTTTATTTTTAATTTGTGCTAAACGGATATTAAAGTCCTTCTAGCTAAACTATAAACAATCGGTCCCATCTCTTAGTATTTTTATAGAAAGGTCTTTGAAACATATATTAAGTCTGATATTGTTGACATTGTCTTAGCGGCGGTTTCATGAGAAACCAAATAGTTTTGGTTGATTTGACTAATTTTTTATTGTTATTGCATAAACCCGCATATTGTTTCAACTCAATGAAAATGGTTTTAATAAACACCTTGACCGGATTATTTATGATTATTTTAATCGGTATATTGATGGTGTCTCCCAAGGCGCATCCAAAACATTGTATTAGGTCGTATCTTAATGTTGGTTTGTGATAGTTTGTTATTGGAATGAAAAATTTTGACGTCTTTTGCTTTTTTTGAATTTTAAGAAATTCGGTTTACGATGAATTGTTGCTTTCAACCTATAATATATTTTGCCTGATGCGTCATCGTAATTTATAATATTGGGCTCAATTGAAAATGGTAATTACATTCCATATATATTTCCTCATACAAATCATCTCGCTTATTATTGTTATTATTATCATTATTGTTATCATTATTATGATGTTTCCATAAACATATTCGTTGATCTAAAAAATTCTTTTTCTGATGTGAAATTTATTAATGGCGGTGAATAATTAATATTAACTACTCTGCTTCCACCATCACAAAGATTTTTACTCTCGTCTTTATGATAATTATAATTACTATATAACACGATATATTATTACTATACCACTATTTCTATTACAGTAACTGTTACTGTTAAACAATGTTGATCTTTGTTTCATCCAAAATATTTCTTTCGGGCCGATCTATTTTTTTCGCTTGCGCTCCTGATATTTTAGATGGTTCTATACCTAAAAAACCTTGCTGATACGTCTCACATCCTGGTAAGTGAATCAACGTTATTCGCCCTGAATACTTTACCATGTCCATACTTTAGTTTTTCAAAAAAAAATTTATAATTTTTTTTACGACGGAAAAAATAGTTTAAAAAACTCTTTACTATTACATGATTTTATATGAAACATCCCATTCATATGATTTTATTGAAATTAACGCGTGACCTATAATTCCCCTTCTCGTTATATTTTCAATGAAAACCCAACGACCACTATATCGTGAAGCATTAAATAAACTACCTCATAAAAAACATTCAATATGAATTCGTGGATAAACAAAAAAAAGCCGTCGTAAAATATTATGATTCAATTTTTTGTGAGAGACCATTTTATTTTTATTAATAAATTTACATATTGAATTTTATTATCTAAATTAATAAATTATTCAGGAAATAATACATTAATAATATGGTACATTGGTTCTTTAGACGGAATGTCTTGAAATAACTTTTTCCCCTCCAATCAATTTACTAATATTATCTTTAATTTTATTATCTTCATCATCAACAATACTTATTACTGTTGATTTTTCTTGCATTGGTGATGATGATGATACTTTATTATCTTTAATATTTATGATTATATTGTATAATCTGGTAATAATATTATTGGCAATGATAACTGAACTAGTTATCAAAGTTAAAAATGGGATGAGGTCATATGATATTATCGAGTATTTATAGATGACCTTAATAAAAAGATAATAAAAATAATATGTTAATACTCATTCATACCTGGTTAAGTGATTCAAAGAGTTAATTAATTACATTTTCAATTACCAACCTGAATAATAAATTGTGGTACATCTTCAATAAAAAAATTCAATAAACTGCACCAAAATATTAATGATGAAGAATTGGGTGAAAATGGAGCAGAAAATGACTTCAATCCAGCTGCTTTCGATGATAATATAGTAATGCATTGATTTCTGCACTTGATATTAGTGTAATGACTGCCAAAATATTGGCGTGCTTTTTAAACCATTTGTAAAATTCACAGTTGTTACTAATCTCATTAACAACAATAATGATGCTTGATATGGAATTAAATATAATTGACAATATCAAGATAAATAAACTAAATAAAAATAATTTTAAAAATAATTAATATATTAATCAATTATATACCAAAAAAATATTAATAAATTACCTTGGTATAAATAGTTGTGGAACATTTTTACCATTATTGAATATAAAAGCAATATCCAACATAAAGTCAATAAGAATTAGAAACATTTTCAAAATGACAATATTATTACCCTGAAAATTATTGATTATTATTAATATACAATTTTATAATCATATCATTAATTAATATATTATTATTCACCTCTGAATATTTTTTATATGAATACAAAATCAATATTATGATAATTATAATCATAATTGGAATGATTATTAAATAAACTTTATATTCTTCAAACAAATTTCCTATTAAATAAATATAATCAGTATTAATCACATTATAATAATATTATTATAAATACTTGTATTATATTTATTTGTTCCTTACTTGTAAATGTAAATCCATGATTCTCATCAATAAATTTTGTATGATTGTGAATTGAGATTCCAGTAATGAATTTATTTTTGATCAACGTATTTAAATTATCTATGACTTGGGAAACATTGATTTCTTCACTATTATTAGATTTTAAAATACCAAATGATAGCAATAAAGTTGGTGGCAAAGTTGTGTAATCCATCTGATCTTTGATAAAATTTAAACGAGTTGGATCAATGGGTGTTAAATTGGCCAATCCATTTTTTAAATTTTTAATAAATTTAGATTTATTGGTTGAATCTAGATTATTAAATAAATTTGTCCCCTCTACATTGAGCCTTAAGATACCATTTGCTGTATTTAAAGAATTTAATAAAAAACTGTAAATTTATTAATTTAATCCAAATAAATTTATGAAATATAAAAAAATCCTACCTGAATATTTAATAGCCACATTATCTTTTAGTTAAAAGTAATTAATTTATTAGTTAATCAATAATATTTCAATGATTATATTTGTTAATTAAAAAGATTAAACATTAAAATTTTTTTACTTGTAGTAAATTTCCATATATTTTTACGAATTCCCATCAATGGTTGGTTAGTGGAAGATTTTTTTAATGCACCATCCCCAATTACTACAAAATAGCTTGTATTGGAAAGATTAAGTGTACTTGTTAATACTTGAATAGTCATGCTTTTTTTATCATCACTTATTTTACAATATGGTGAGTCGGCTGAAAAAGATTGCCTCAAAATATTTTGGTCATCATTATTTATTTGGTATATTGATATGCTGTTAATAGATGGAACGAATGGTGTATTATATGTTACATTGATCTCTTTACTTCCTATTTCTATCACTCCATTTATTGGTGGATAAGTTGAATCAATATTTGGATTACTATATCCTTTATCTAATAATTAAATCAAATATTAATTTCATTTTAATTTTATCATTTACAAAACCACTAATATATAAATAATTTTACCATCAGGCAGAAATCTAGGAACTTTGGTTGAAATTATGTTCCAACTTTTATTATTATTTTTATTTGGTATAATTTCAATAAATGTATTATTTTGTGTAAAGATACCATAATTTCTATTAGTTGCTAAACCTTTACTAAATGGTGGAAGAGTCAAATTACTTGGTAGATCTAATGTTGCATTTATCTTCAAATCATTATCCAGTAAATATCCATAAGCTGTATATTTATTTTTATACGTTTCACTTGGTGAAATAACATTAAATAAAAATCCTCCATAAAATAGTATAGTTAAGTATGAATCAGAAAAATCTGGAATGTGATTAAATTCTAATGGTCCAGTTCCTGTAACAGCACTAACAAAGAGATAATATTAGATTAAGATAATAATAATATGTAATAATTATTTTTTATTATATATTTAATAAAAACCTACCCATTTGAATAAATTTTTGGTTTTCTTACTTTAGCAAGAGATACAGCACACATAAACCTTGAACTAGTAAGTGCTGAAGCACAAATCAAATAATCAATTGATAAATATACATCTGTTGTTTGATATATCAAAAATGGTCCAACTATTTCATCTTTGTCAGGATATATTAAAGAAACATATATGGATATTGGTGGTTGATTTGGTTTAATATTTTTTGTGCTATTGTTATTTTCAGTAATTGTTGCACCATCCAAAATTGGAAAATGTGAAAAATATAATATAGTATTTCCATATTCAAATGGTGCTTGAGTAATAATTCCAGTTTTCAATTTGGCTATTTACCATTTTCATTTCTAAAATATTTAATAATATGTATTAATAATATTTAAATTATTAATTATTAAAAAAAACAATAATTATGGTGAACTAAAATGGATCCATTGATA